CGAAAAACTCTGAATGCTAGGTGAGATTTCAAACGGTCACGGCCCAGGAGCCAAACAGAAATGCTGTGGCACTTTTACAGCTGTGTATAGGTGTAGCTTTTCTTGTGCAACTTCAGCACTGACGTTAGTGGAGAATGTCCTTTAGCAGAATAAACTTGTTCACTCCAGGCACCAATACCTGCCACTTTGCTCCTAAAAAAAATGTCATTGAATGGAATTTGGATGTTTTGGTGCTGCAGCCTTCTGTGTTCTGGGAGGTGAGAGGTTTCCTGCTGGTGGGACACATGTTTACCCCCCACTGGGTGCAAGACTTGAGCATTACAGGCGGTGAAAGCAAAATCACACCTGCAGCAGAGACGCCTGCTTAACTCAGGTGAGTCGGCGCCTCCTGCCAGAGCATCCTGTGGCTGGGGAGGGAAGGCCTCAGAGCAGCTCCACAGCTCTCACTAAGACCCCGGCGGGAGGCCTGACTCCTGTCCACACGGAGCTCAGCCGTCCCTTGGCTTGAGGACTTGGGAGCAGTTCAGGTGAGGGCTGCTTGCCCCAATCTCGCAGACTCCACCGGGAGGGCGCCCCCCTTTCCTGTTCCCTGGCCACCTGGGTGACTAGAATGGTTTTCATCCCTTGCCCAGGCATTTGGGAAACTAATGGGCTATTGGCACTCCCACGTTTCTCCGTGAACTGTGGCTGAGACTCCAGTGACGCATCTCCTTTCCTCCAGCAACACCACCCTCCCATATGTTAAAAATACGCCTGCTCCAAATCATGCCCCTGGGAACTTTGGAGGCCTCCTTTTTTGGAGACTTGCTGAGAGCTTTTGTTCCAGTCAGGCCACGAACTCCAGACACATAAGGAGGCGATTTGTTTTCCCATCCCAGGAGCTGAGCCTGTGATGGAACCTTTCACGACAGCTGGGAGGGAGTGTCCCCGTTTTCAGGGTGTGATCTTGGCCCCAGCCCAAGTGAACGCTGTCTGCCCTGTCCACCCTTCCGACCACACACACACTTGGCTCATGGTGGTGGCTGGTTTTTAAATCACCTTTGAAGAGTAAAGTAGATCTAGAGTCAGTATGTCAGAACTTCCAGAGGCCACTTCAGCCTCTGCTCTTCCTCCAGGGGCAAATGTGTCCGCGCCTGGCTCAGAGAGGCGGGAGCTGGCGTCATGTTAGCAGGTGACAAGGGGAGAAGGATCCCAGTGTTCTTTGGGAAGCCCCAGTGCCTCCGTGGAGACAGGGGTGGGTCTGGTTGCTGGCTCCCTCGAGTCACTGGCTTGCTTTAAACATGTCTTTTAAACTACACAAGTAACACAAATACACCTCATTAAAACATTATATATAATATACTATATATAATATAATATAATTAATATATAAAACACTATATATAATATACTGGAGGGTTTGGGTCTGGGGCAGCCTGGGGCCAAGGAAGCCTCAACACCACCCCTCTCAGATACTGGGTTGTGGCTACCACCAAGTTTGTGTTTGTATTTTCCAGTATGTGGGCTTTGGTGCCGCCATTTCCCAGGCTGATGACCCTTCTGTGGTTCCATGTGGCTGCGGGGCACAGGGCTGTAGTGTTGGGAAGACAGAGGAGGAAATGTCTTTCCAGCTTTTGGGGATTCTCAAACTGTATGTGCATCACCTAAGGGCTTGTGCAAAGCTAGGTGGCTGTCCCTGCCCAGAGCTTTTGATTCTGTGGTGGGGCCCTAGGACTGCAATTCCGTGTTTCTGGATGATACTGAAGCTGATGGTCAGGACCACACTTTGAAAACAACTCTTCTCCATTAGGTGGGAAGAAGAGGCACCAGCCGGGGCTGCAGGTGGCATGTAGATCTAGAGTCAGTATGTCAGAACTTCCAGAGGCCACTTCAGCCTCTGCTCTTCCTCCAGGGGCAAATGTGTCCACGCCTGGCTCAGAGAGGTGGGAGCTGGCGTCATGTTAGCAGGTGACAAGGGGAGAAGGATCCCAGTGTTCTTTGGGAAGCCCCAGTGCCTCCGTGGAGACAGGGGTGGGTCTGGTTGCTGGCTCCCTCGAGTCACTGGCTTGCTTTAAACATGTCTTTTAAACTACACAAGTAACACAAATACACCTCATTAAAACATTATATATAATATACTATATATAATATAATATAATATAATTAATATATAAAACACTAAATATAATATACTGGAGGGTTTGGGTCTGGGGCAGCCTGGGTCCAAGGAAGCCTCAACACCACCCCTCTCAGATACTGGGTTGTGGCTACCACCAAGTTTGTGTTTGTATTTTCCAGTATGTGGGCTTTGGTGCCGCCATTTCCCAGGCTGATGACCCTTCTGTGGTTCCATGTGGCTGCGGGGCACAGGGCTGTAGTGTTGGGAAGACAGAGGAGGAAATGTCTTTCCAGCTTTTGGGGATTCTCAAACTGTATGTGCATCACCTAAGGGCTTGTGCAAAGCTAGGTGGCTGTCCCTGCCCAGAGCTTTTGATTCTGTGGTGGGGCCCTAGGACTGCAATTCCGTGTTTCTGGATGATACTGAAGCTGATGGTCAGGACCACACTTTGAAAACAACTCTTCTCCATTAGGTGGGAAGAAGAGGCACCAGCCGGGGCTGCAGGTGGCATTCAGATGAGGTTGGGCATCTCAGACACGGCCCAAAAAAACATGGCAGAATAAAGGGAGACTTGACCTTTCTAGGATTTTGTTTCGTTTTGTTTTTTTTTCCACTGACTGTCTTGAGCCTTGGGTTGTATGGCTTGGGCTCCCCAAGTTTCTTGACAGAGTTTGAGAGTCAATTAAACTCCTTTTCCTGAGTGCAAGGTTCCTTTCACTTGAACCAGTGGGTACCTGGACAGAGAACAGCTCTGTCNCCTGAGTGCAAGGTTCCTTTCACTTGAACCAGTGGGTACCTGGACAGAGAACAGCTCTGTCTGTTTCTGATTCAGACACTTTCCTGCAGCATAGCATGGTGGTTAAAGCTGTTTGGACAGCTGTCTCTTAGAAATCAGAAATCATGTTTACCTGCCTGTAAACTTGCATTTCCACATTAATTCACATGGCAGGTATTTCTCTGAGTGCTCCACTAGTGCTGGGTTGTGTTCTAAGCCTTGGGCACATCACTAGGACAAAAAGGGCCCCTGTCCATGAGGCTTTATTCTAATGGAGGGACACAGACGACACATTTAGAACAGTGAGTAAGCAAGAATGTTTAGACAGTGTCGAGTGCCATGGAGAGAACAGGGCCCCTGTCCATGAGGCTTTATTCTAATGGAGGGACACAGATGACACATTTAGAACAGTGAGTAAGCAAGAATGTTTAGACAGTGTCGAGTGCCATGGAGAGAATAAACCAGGTAATGGAGACAGCTATGAGGGGCAGGCTGGGGTAGCCAGGAAAGGCCTCTCTGAGAAGCCACCATCCTGGGGAGGACCATTCTGGCCAGGGGTCTGCAGAGTCTCCAGGCACAGGGAGTTTTAAGAGACCCCATAATACATAAAAAGTATAACAGGAATAAAGATTCCATTTTCCATCCATTTTTTCAAAATATTGGTAATAAGCAGCACTAATGCAATTGGGTTGTGCTCATGGGACTCTCAGACAGGACTCGGACATGAAGAAGAAGAGGGCTTGGCTCTCTGGCGTTTGCAGGGGGCTCAGAGGTGCCTGTTGCGGTGGTGGTTATTGGGGCTGCCTGTCAATCCTGGTGCATATGGTCACTGACGTCTGCATGAGGCTCCAGGGAGGGGAACATCACTCATGCTGCTCTCGCCTGTGCCAAGGGGTGGCTTGACTCTGGCTGACCTGCCTGCGACGCGGGAAAGGGTCTCACTCCAGCAATGAAGGCTCGTGAGCGGTGGCATTGACAGGTCAGAGAATGGAGTCAGTGTGGGGCAGTCGAATAAGATGTGCTTGATTTGGTTGATCAAGAGTGGGTTAGACGCCATTTCCCTAAGGAGCCAGGCCATCTGTGAGCAGCCCTGGTTTCCTGGTGGAGCAGCTGGCTCCCCAAGCCTCCTGGCCACGGTTCCTAGGAGAGAAGTCTGGGAGAGAATGAGAGTCCTAGGAACAAGGTGGTCTCACTGGCCTGTTCACTGACACATTCTTTCATCCACTCATTCAACAGGTATTTGGTAAGCACCTGCTGTGTGCCAGCCACTCTCTGGGCACTGGGGATACAGAGTGAACAAGACAAAGGCCTGTCCTCTTTGCTGTGTACATACTAGAGAGGGAGACAGCAGACAAAGTAGTGAATATGTAGTATACCACGTGGTGGTCAGTACTATGAAAAAATAAGAAGAAAGCGGATAGGAAGGGTAGGGGTTGGGATTGTGTTGGATAGGCAGGAAGGTCTCTCCGAAGATTCCACATCTTAGCAGAGGCCAGAGGATGTACAGGAAGGAGCCACATGGTTGTCTTGGGGGAAGAGTGCTCTAAAGGGAGGGTGCAGCAAGTGCCGAGGCCCTGGGGTGTGGGATGGTGCCGGACGGTGTGGCCCACCCTGACTGTGGCAGGGCTGAGGTGGGACATCAGTGGCTGTGTGTGTCACCAGCCCAGGGTCTCCCATGCTGGGGGAGGGTGGCTTGCTCCCACCCCAGTGCTGGGTGCTTGGCTTCTCTAGCCGCGCCACAAAGCATACCCATGTTCTTTCATTTCAGACCCGTAAGCAGTACAACGAGGCCGCCAATGAGAGCAACCAAGTCTTCCTGTATTGTGCCTTCCTGGACTTCAGGTACAGCGGGGGGCAGCAGGGGGTGACGCAAGGCCGAGGACAGGGCAGAGGGAGGGGAGGGGAGAATGGGAAGGGAAGGGGATGCCAGATGGGCACCAGGTGTCTAGGTCCAGGCCAGATCTCATTTTTTTAATCCACTCTTAAAATTTCTGTTGTTTATTGGTGTGTTTAGACAATTAATATTTAATGTAATCATTGGCGTGGTGGGATTAAAATCCACTATTTTGCTAGAAGTTTTCAAATTTTTCTAGATTTCTTTTCTTATGTTATCTTCTGACTTCATTTGGATTGGGGGCATCTTTTATGATGCTATTTTGATCTGCATGATTGACTTCTAATTTACACCTCCTTTTAATTTGTTTGTAGTGGTTGCCCTAAGCTTACAGTATATATGTTTAATTTTTCTGTTTCTACTTTCAAATAATATTGTATCATTTCAAATGCATCCTAAGACATTGCAATAATATTTTTTTACACTTCCCCCTGCCTGTTCCTCATGCTGCTGTTGTTACATACTTTACCCTTGTTGATGCTGTGAACAAACAATACATCTCTAGGATTTCTGCCCTAGACAATCAGTTATTTTCTAGAGCAGTTAAAAATAAGACAATAATAAGTCCATATTAACCTTTATTTTTTCCATGGCCAGCTGTTTCATTTCTTTGTGTAGATCCAAGTTTCTGTCTGGAATCATTTTCCTTTAATCTTTTTTGTGGTGCAAGTTCACTAGCAAGAAATTCAGTTTTTGTCTGAGAAAGTGTTTTCTTTTATTTTTGAAAGATATTTTCACTGGACTCAGAATTCTGGGCCACTTTTTTCTAGACTTATACTTTAAGAAATTATGAAGGTAATATATCAATACAATATTCTTTTAAAAAGTAAAACATTCTAAAAGAGCGCAAACATCCTGTTTGACCTTCATGTCTTCTCCTGACCTCCTTCCCTTTCTCTCCAGTGGGGAGTTCTTGTGTGTGTGTTTTTGATAATTTATATATAATTTGTATTTATTCTCATAGGAAATCTATGGAAATATTGTTTAGTTTAGTGTTTCTTGCATTTCACCACATTGTGCTTTTGTGTTCTGCCCATATTAATACACATTTATTTCATTGCATTTACATGCACCACATTTTATTTACACAAGAGAAGGAACATTTTCCTGCTTAGATGCAGACTTCCTAGGTCACAGGGCCATGCTTGATGTTATTTGACATTGCCTGGCCTGGCTTCTCCAGCACATGTCCTTATGCCCATGCTGGGGGCGGGGGGGGGGCAGGGGGCTGCCTCCACGTTTTCCCAGACTCCCTGGGAAGTGGACCTTTGCCACTACGTAGAGGTGAGGCCACCCGGGCTCAGCTCCTCTGGCTGAGTAAGACGTCATCACACCTTCACTGATCCATCTGGGAAGTGTGACTTCCACGTTTTTTAACTCACCCTTTGTGTAAGCAGAAGGGACAGTTTTTCATAGCCGTGGCCATGTTCACCTGGTTCACTGCCTGTTAATTTTCAGGTCTCCCTCAAATTGAAGCGTGGTGTTCAGACATTCTGCAGCAGACAGAGGCGCTTTGTATAACACAACAGCCGGTGTTGGCTGACCACGCTCAAGATCCTGGGAAAGTTAGATGGGAGGCGTGGGGTGGTGGGGAGGAGGACCTGACCCTTTCTTTAAACCCCTGTATTCTGAGGTTATTAATTGGGTTTTGCTCCTCCAAATTGGTGGGTTCAAGTGGCTCTGGCTTTGCTCTCTGGCCTCTGCTAAATGCCTTCTGCCTCCCTGAGGAGAGCACATCATTAATCAAGGAAACCACCGCCGAGGCCGCAGTCGCTGAGCCCCAGCATCAGGCTCAGAGCTCACCCAAGTCTCCTCTGAATGACCTTCCCCATCCCCTGCCTCGGGTCCTGGTCACCCCCTTCCCCGCCCCCACTAACACAGAGTCACAGTTGCTTTGGAAAATGGAGAAGCTGCTTGTGTGCTCTCTGTCCGCTGGATGTTGGCAGGGGAGGTGCAGGAGACCTTACAGTCAAAACCAAATATAAAGCAAAGAAAAACTAGATCCTTTTAATTTCTCCAACTTCATAAACACTTTCCCCCAAGCAAGGGCCTCTGCCTGCTGCTGTACGAGAGTTAACCACTGTTCACATTGGAGCATATTTACGTCCAGTCATTTTTATCTAGGTTTACACTTTAAGAAATGATTCAAGTAATGGACCAATACATTATTCATTTGAAAAGTAAAACATTGTTGAAAAGCAAATGTCCCCTTTGACCTCTACATCATCTCATCCCGATCTCCTCCCCTCTCTCTGGAGATCACTGTGGGGAGTTTTTGTGTGAGTTTTCTCAATAATTCATATGTAATTTATATTTACGTTCATAGAAAATATATCATATTGTCTTGTTTCATGCCCCTTGCCTCATTATTACGCTCTCTACATTATGTTTCTGTGTTTTATCCTTATCAATGCACATTGGTCAAGGATGTTCTTTTTAACTGATGTACAGTATTCTATCATATTTATAGACACCACATTTTATGTGTTTCCCCCAGATGGGTGTTTAAGTTGCTGTAAAATGTTTTCTGGTTCCTCATGACTCAGTAGTTCCCCGTGCACGTTCCTTCATGCCCTTACTTCAGAACTTCTGCGGAAGCTGGATGGTGGGCTGTGCACAGCTCATTTGGTATCGGACATTGTCCGGGTGCTTTCCAAAGTGCTTGCGCCAAAGCAGTTCCACCCCTTCCCTATCCCAGGAGGGCCTTGCTTCCCTATGGCCTGACCAGCCCCAGCTGCTGTGCGGTTCTTGCGGGCCTGATGGTGATAGCCCACCACAGAGCTGCTCTGGTCTGTATTCCCCAGTCCCAGGCAGGAGCGAGCAGTGTTTGAGCTCATGAAGAGTTAACCACTGTTCACATTGGAGCATATTTACGTCCAGTCATTTTTATCTAGGTTTACACTTTAAGAAATGATTCAAGTAAAGGACCAATACATTATTCATTTGAAAAGTAAAACATTATCGAAAAGCAAATGTCGCCTTTGACCTCTACATCTCATCCCGATCTCCTCCCCTCTCTCTGGAGATCACTGTGGGGAGTTTTTGTGTGAGTTTTCTCAATAATTCATGTGTAATTTATATTTACGTTCATAGAAAATATATCATATTGTCTTGTTTCATGCCCCTTGCCTCATTATTACGTTCTCTACATTATGTTTTTGTGTTTTATCCTTATCAATGCACATTGGTCAAGGATGTTCTTTTTAACTGATGTACAGTATTCTATCATATTTATAGACACCACATTTTATGTGTTTCCCCCAGATGGGCGTTTAAGTTGCTGTAAAATGTTTTCTGGTTCCTCATGACTCAGTAGTTCCCCGTGCACGTTCCTTCATGCCCTTACTTCAGAGCTTCTGCGGAAGCTGGATGGTGGGCTGTGCACAGCTCATTTGGTATCGGACATTGTCCGGGTGCTTTCCAAAGTGCTTGCACCAAAGCAGTTCCACCCCTTCGCTATCCCAGGAGGGCCTTGCTTCCCTATGGCCTGACCAGCCCCAGCTGCTGTGCGGTTCTTGCGGGCCTGATGGTGATAGCCCACCGCAGAGCTGCTCTGGTCTGTATTCCCCAGTCCCAGGCAGGAGCGAGCAGTGTTTGAGCTCATGGGCCTGCCCGGCGGAGGGTGCTGCTGCCTCACCCTTTGGCCAAGGATGTCATGTTGCATCTGCTGATCACGCCTCCTGTGTCCTCAGCTCCGGAGAAGGGGTCTGGTCCAACCAGGGCTGTGCACTCACAGGAGGAAACCTCAACTACTCCATCTGCCGCTGCACTCACCTCACCAACTTCGCCATCCTCATGCAGGTGGTCCCACTGCAGGTAAGAGCTGGGCCACGGGGGTCCAGGACCTGGAGAGGCAGCAGGCTTGGGGGAGCAGGGGTCATCCTTTACCTGTCAATGCCCATGGCCCTTGGCACTTCCACTCATAGGCTGTTTATAAGCAGAATCCACCCTCTTGGCTTCTGTGGCCCAGGGTTCTGCATGTATCGGATGTCAGCAAGTATTTGATGAGTACACAGTTGTGTAAGCAACACCAGGACTGCACCTTGAGATGCCTGCTGTCCTTGGGTGCTGACCCCTCATCCGCCATCATTCATTCCACAAATACTCACTGGGCACCTGCCATGGGCTAGGAACTGGGCTTCAGCCGTAAATGAAAAAAGAAAAAAACACAAAACAGCTTGTTCCTGCTTTGGAGGCATTTGTATTCTAGTGGGGAAGACATAAGCAAACTAGAAAGTAAATGTGTAATTTAAAAGAGCTGTTTAAGTGCGTAAAGAGAATTGAAGAGAGCCGTGTGGTAGGAGGAGGTGGCTGATAGCAGTGTGGCAGTGGCTCTTACAATGGTAAAGGGAAGAGCTTCACTCTGTACACAGTAAGAGAGACTTATATAAGTTAAAAAAAAAAAGTTGACAGAGGAAGGGGATGTCTTTCCATTGTGTGGCCAGGAGAAATGTCCCTGGGGAAGTGACATCTGAATGGCCAGAGGAGCTAATCTCTTGAAGGCCTGGGTGGAGAATGTTCTGGGCTTAGAAGCAGTAAGTGGGGAGGGCAGGAGGCAGGAAGGGGCTTGGTGTGGTCATGGTTGGAGGTTGGGCAGCATCAGGAAGCTGGGGGAGGTGGCAGTCTCCAATCTCCGGTCATCTTGGGCCACTGGCAGGAGTGTTTATTTTATTCCAAATACAACGGGAAGCCATTGGAGAATTAAACTGGGGAGTTCTGGGTTTGGGGTGGGAGCAGATGAATTGTGTGTGGATGGGAACCAGGGGTGGAAGGAGGAGCTCACGTTGACTACGTGGACACTGCACACTCACTTCTGTGGATCTGATGTTATGGTGGAGTTGGTTTGGACAATGTAGATGTGGCAGCTCCAAGGCAGACCAGGTTAGGCAGATGCATGGAGAACAACAGTTGTTCGTTGCCATGCCATAGCCTACAGCTGGTGCTAGGCATTCTAAGGGCCAAGGGAGGGTGAGGCTGGAATGGGTGCTGGGCAGCATCTGCAGAGGAAGATGATGAGCCCTGGCATGAATTTGCCAAAGTTGTTTCAAGATTCTTCTTCCTTTGAGGGTCTTGGTCTTTTGGAGCATCACGTGTTCATTGTGGAGCAAATCCTTCTCCTGGATGCCCATTTCCATCCTAAGGTGGGCACATCTGGGTAGTTTTTGGGAGAATCAGGACATCTTTGAACAAAAGCCCCTGGTAAGAGAAGGTGAGGCCAGAAGGGGAGCCCAAAGTATCCCGTGCATTCACTTGGGTGTCAGGGTGTGAGCTGCACCCAGCCTGGCTCAAGTCATGGCTTTCCTGCTCTCTGGGTCAGGTTTATTAATATAGAGGATGAGCAGAATGCCACCAGTTGGCAGTGATCATCTAGGCCAGAGCGTTCTACATGGTTTTGTGTCCATCTTACTTGGATCGTGGTCTTTCCACCTGGTAGAGGAACTTCTTCAAAATTTAACTGGGACAGAATCAAGCTTGGGAGACTCCTCCTTATCCATGAAGAGGGTTGATGACGTGACTGCACAGGGTTGCTGTGCTAAAACATGAGTTAATTGTGTCACAGAAATATGTCATGTGCTCAGCACAGGCCCTGCCCCACAGAAACCACGCGGCAAATGCGCCAAAGAGCTCTGTGTCTCCAGAGTCCCAATGACACACAATTACCTCTCGGGAGCTGGTGCTGTTGATCCATGGAGACAGAGTAGTGGTATTTTGAAGTAACAATTTATAAGGCTGTTGGGACACAAATAAATTACCACCTAATTTTTAAACTCCATGGAAAATAAAGTGGCAGAACAGCTCTCATCTGAGTGTTGAGTGTGCCTGTTTCTTCTGGGGCATTAGGAACATAGAGCAGATGTTGTTTTTAACAACAACGTCACCACCACTGCCAGAAGTGCTAGCATAGCATTTACTGTGTGCCAGGCCATGTGCTAAACATTTTATATGAATTAGCTCATTTAATCCTCACAACAGCTCTTTGGGGTGGAGATTTCTTATCCCCCAAAATAATTATTCTATTTTATGAATGAGGAAACTCAGGCACAGAGATATGAAGGATTCACGAACCCAAGCGGTTGGCTCCAGGGTCCAGAGTTCTAACCCCTGAGCTACATGGCTGCTGCCTGAGCACATGGTCTGCTTTTATTACTGTTGTTATAAGGGACACTGAGGACAGCGCTAGAACCATTTGAATCCCAGCTGTCACTGAATACCCAACACCTAGAGCTCAGCAGAATCACTTGGTTGTTGGTTGGGAATTGGGAAGAAGATGCACATCATGATAGCAGCTAACATTGTCGTGGAGCATCTTGCAGTTGGAAGAGATGTCACTCACGTTATCTTGTGTGGTCCTCACTCTGCAGAAAACATGGGAGGGAAAACAGCTATTCCCACGTCTCCAAAGAGAAGGCCTTTTCCCTTTGCAAAACCCATCATGGATTTCACATGGAGACTCCAGAGAAGCGTTCTGTGCTCTCTCAAGAGAACATGGGGGAGGCCCCACACTCTCTTGAGCTCCCTGTGCCCAGACACACACTCCACTTTCTGGACGTGCTCTGGAGCCTGGACTCGTGACCCCTGTGCTCTGCTGAGACAGCATCGAGGGGGTAGAGGGCACATGCTGTTCAGCTGCCCATGTGGTGGAGCCAGCAGAGCAGGGGCAGCCCTGCTTTACACGCAGCTGCACAGTGCTCCCGTGTCATGCTTCTGGGTCAAGTGTCCTTCATACTGCGGGATTGCTGTCATGAGACTGGAGGGACATGAGTACACTCATCACTAGCACCTCCTGTCTTGGTCAAGCAGGTGCGATCCCAGACAATCCCAGTGGGGACATTTTCTCCAAGCAGTGACACCCAGGAAGCCGCTGCCCATGCAGGGACTGCCACCTCCTTGCCTGCATTCTTCCCACTAACATCATCTCAGCGTCCCTCAGCTCCTATGTCCTTCCATGCCTCCTACACCCAGGTCTTGCACACTGTGGGCTGTGAGCCATCAGTGGCTGGGGAGCTCCATGTGGTGGATCATTGGCAGCAACTTAAAGACAATTAAATAGGATGAATTAAACCAGAGTGCAATGAAAATAAAAACAGAAGCGCAGTTTTGTGAAAGCTTGCACCAGTCACTCTGACTATGTGAACTACTGCAGATTTGCCGTCCCTTCCCGTCCTGGCCCAACCACTGCACTCCATCTCCTCCCTTATATTCTGCACCACCCTGCCTCTCGGGTGCTCCCTGCCTGTCAGATACTTCCTGCCTGGTGGATGCTCCCTGCCTGGAAGATGCTCCCTGCCTCGCGGGTGCACCCTGCTTGGAAGTTGCTTCCTGCCTGGAAGATGCTCCCTGCCTGGCTGGCGCTCCCTGCCTGGTAGGTGCTCCCTGCCTGGTGGGTGCTCCCTGCCTGGTGGGTGCTCCCCTCCTGGAAGATGCTTCCTGCCTGGCAGGTGCTCCCTGCCTGGTGGGTGCTCCCTACCTGTCAGATGCTCCCTGCCTGGTTGGTGCTCACGCTTGGGTCTGCTCTCTCCTTGGGTTCTCACCATGTGAGTGAAGTGTTGTCATTGTGGCCATCATCAGGGGATTCCCTGAGGTCACATCAAGGGGCAGAACCTGGTGTTGAGCTGGATCCTAAATGCTCAGGCTGGTGACTGTGCTCTGGATGACCTATGAGCAGAGCCCTCCCCCACATCCTCTACATGCCAAGGACCAAAGACCAGCCCCTCTTCCTCCTGAGACTTGGGTGAGTGTGATGGGCTGTGGGAGTGGGGAGAGGGTGGCACACTTTCAGTAGGAAGTTGTGTTTGTGAGCGTCATGGGTCTGTGGTTCAGGGAAGGAGAGTGGTTCAATCCAGTAAGTCCAGAAAACTGGAATCACAGAACATTTATGATTATAAATCTGCCACCACTCAATACAGGTGATGCTGGATTTAGACAGTGTTTGGGTGTCTTCATGTGAGCAATTCCCATTTATTCATTGCCAGAAAGGTTGATTTTAAAATAGTTTCAAATTATCCATACTAAAAATGAACATTCTCATGAACATTAAAAAATCTAAGGCAGAGGTCATAAGTAGACACCAAATCCATGGCACATTTAGAGAACTGTTAAAAATAGCATAAATGACCTTGTTTCTTTGACATTGAGTCCATGTCTTCCGAGGGAACCTGGGCTCGCCCAGCTGGTCTTTGGTTCTCGGTCCAGGGTCCCCATCAGGAGTTCATATCTGCATCTTGTCCCTCCTTTCTCTCAGGCTCTGTCTTGACCTTTCTCCTCACCCAGTGTGCTCTAGCTTGATTTTGAAAGCCCCTTTCTTCCTAAGTGAGAAGGCCCTTTCTGTGGAAATCCAGTCAGATGGCGGTTCACCTGAGTGGTACCTTAGACAGCTGGGCTGCAGCTGGGAGTGACACCCCAGGACACCCCCAGGATGACATCCCAGGGGGACACCCAGGATGATGTCCCAGGGGGACCCCCAGGATAACATGAATTATAAAACATGGCTTCATCTCTTGGTGCTTCTGACTTCTCCTGTGTAAGTGCATTTCAAACCGGGGAACTAGCCCTTGAACTGGTATCAGCAGATCTGGGTCCATGTCTACCACTAGTCCTGACAACCGGGCAGCTCCCTAAGACTCACTTTCTACACCTTCAAAATGAGTAAGAATCCCAGGAAGTTTAGTTGGGTTTTTTTATCAGATAAAATGATCTTGGAAAAGTAGGTTGTTGGGTCAGAAAATCTATCCAGAGTAGACCCTGTAACTTAGTATACTATGAGAATCCATGTCATAGGATTAAAAGAATCAGAAAGTAAGATGACCTATAAAAAT